CCCATTTGGTAAATTACAGCAATTGTTTTCTGAGAATAATTATGTACTGTATGTACAGTAAGGGAGGTATTGGCAAAAGGTCACCTGTAGTAAGTCAGTCTGGCCACTAGCAATGTACTACAGCCTTTGGAACATGAAAAAACACTTTTGGTGAATTACAGTAATTGTTTTATGTGCTTTTTTGATTATTATTTAGTGCACACAGATGTATGAGGTACAAAAATAACAAATATCCGAAGTCAGTTGAAAAAGTAAACAGTGACGTAGCCTTCTAGTGGCCACAGAACGAATTCAACCACAGCAGCAGGTCGACCAGATCTGCATATTGATATGGACAAACGCAAACCTCAAATGCGACTGGTTACGCTTACGGTTCAATTCAGTTCAATAAAAATAAAACCTTGCTTGCTCATATCACTCAATCATTTTAACCTTACTCTGCCGTTATTGCGCGTCGCTCGCTGTAAACACAGTGCACGTGCAGGACACAAAAATAGCGGAAAACATACTATTGTTATGAAATTACATCAATATAAATTAAATTAGCGTTCTGTAGGACTTTTAAGTTAAGAACAAAAACAGTGACATGGAACACCAAACACAGAAGGATATTAGCACCAAAGTAAAAACAAACAAAAAAAAAAAACCGAAGTGGTAAACAAAGCTAAATTATATATATATATAGAGAGAGAGAGAGAGAGAGAGAATTGTTTATATTAGAATTGTTTCCATACTTTAAAAGCAAACTAGGATAGTTACGTACATCAAGGTAGTAGCCTGCTGCTATATGTTTATCATTTAGTTTGTTTTTATGGCCCGCCACCCCTCAGTGCATGACACTGTAGGGTACATCCACCCTCATTTCAGTACAATAGACTCATCCAGTAAAAATAACACTGCACAGCCATTACAGGGTTGCCAGATAGTTTGCTTCTGTATGCATTCTACAGTGCATTTCACTTTACAACAGAACACTTAATTTATATTTGTGTCAGTGAGTAAAGAATTCCTAAAGCCTACCATTACCTGAACATAATTGATATATAACACTTCTCAAAAGAAAAAGGATATTTAATTTAAATTGATTTATGATTAATTTATGATATACACTGTACAAATGATCTTTTTAAGTTGTCAATAAAACAAACATTCTTGGGAGTTTTTACGAAAATATTCTTTTACAAGAAATGAGTATTTCAGTCTTTTTACCTCAAATTTTAATGTTATTTGCGGTTTCTTTGTAATTATTTGTAAATTTATCAGCAATTTCTGAGTGAAAACTGTCTCACCTCCAAATTCGTTTCAGTGTACTGAGCACTGACCCTAGCAGGGAGTCTTATTTTCATCTGAACATAAAGTGTAGTCCCTATATTGTCATTATTTGTCCTATGAAGTGCAATGGTTTTGCATGTTGTATTGATAATAATTTGAGTCTTTAAATGTCTATTGATGATGGTCTTTCCATTTAGATATAGATTTATTTATTTAGTCATTTAGATATAGATACATTTATATTAATTTAGATACATCATATAGATCTTCAATGATAAAGGTTGTTATATTTTTCATATATACACAATATATGTTTAAACATTTGAAAATGGGCTATAAAAGAAGGGATTCGTTTATTTCAGATGTAATTTTCCCTAAATGCTACGCAATGTCTAAACAAACTGTGATGGTTGTTTTAAATATCATTCAGATGACCCCTTCCCTTCTAAGTAGATGTTTTGTTTAGCTGTTTCCAGAATAAGCTGCAATATGGACCAGGCTGTATGCCATTTCGTCAAAGGTCTGGCAACATACGATTACAGCTAAGTTAATTTCTTAACCTTGAATATGATGCACATTTTTCAGGTCAAACCAGCCATTAATTTTATTATTTTTAGTTGTCGCTCCAAACTTTTCTCAATCTTTAGATCACTTTCAGGTCATTCAGCATTGCAGTAATGTCTATTTGAGGCACACATGGTGCAGTCTGGGTGTTGGCACGTAGTGTCTTCTGTAGGTCTCTTGCTGTCTGCTGTAACGTTTGTGGAATGCTGTGAGGTTTGTGTCCCTCTCCTGCACTTCTGCAGCACAGCAGCACCTCATTGACTTCACCCTCGATTCCACGAGAGAACACACACGTGAACACAGCTTGAACACGTTCGAGAACTGACTTCCTGAGAGCCGAGTCACGACACACTAGGTTCAACATGAATAGTCCTGTGGGGGAAAGAAAAGAAGAGCGATCATGGGGGGAAAAAAAGCCAGATGTCTGAAACTGATCATACAACCCCTTACCTCGAGGGGTTAATAAGCTGTAAACTTTCTTCAGAAGTGATGTTTCTACAAAGGCAGATGGAGGGCAGCTCATGCCCAGGGTCGTGTCTTTGCTGTCAACGTCAAACATGATGACATCAAAAGAATGTCCTCCTATATAAGTGCAGAAAAAATAATATAGTAGATATAGTAACAATAGATAATATAGTAGAGAAAGAATAGGCTATCTGGTGCAATGCAGTCTGCAATGCAATCTCTTCCACATAAAACATGACCAATAGATATCATGATTCTCCCACGCATCAAGAAGCATAACAAATCATCATCATCGTGTTGATGAATGCAGATTATTTATATTTTGATTTGCTAAACTACTGAAATCTACAGTATACATTATTTGTACACAGATCAATTCTGTTGTCTCATTTTTTATGACATTAAAGCACTCGCTAACTTTTTTTTTTATTTTAAGAAAACCTGATGAGTCTACAGTAGATCAGTCATTTTTAACCAAAGGGCATCAGCAAAATCAGCAAACCTCAAGATGACTTAAAATTATTTCAAATAAGACAAAAGAAATGTTAATGAGCTAAAAACAATAACACAAATTATGTAGATATTTATTGTAATTAACGTCCTCAACAACATTTTTTTTTTTGGAAAATCTGGATATATGAGGTAAATTTAAAAAATGTATTTTCAGGCTGGCAAAGTCATGTAAATTAATAAAATCTCACACAATAAACAGCATAGGCTGTTTTTCAACGGATATACATTTAGTTATGCCAAGCTCTAAAATTGTTGAAATTGAGAGCAAAACTGATTTTTAAAAATCGTTATCCTTCTCCAGTAAATCACAAACAAATGGAAAAGGCATGGGGTCTTCGACTATTGTTATGGATAACAGGAGGCCTTGTAGTCAAAAAGGTTTAGAATTACTAAATCTAGATGTTCTCTCACCCTTACTCTCCAGAGTTTTGATGTGCTCCAGTCCATCTCCAAGTATAACTTTCAGTCTCTCGTCAGTCTGAAATCCAAACCAGGACTGAGCCACTTCCAGTAAAGCTGGGTCCAGTTCAACCACCTCAACCCGTGCAAACGGCACAAAGTCATGCACAAACTGGGGTAAACCACCGCCACCAAGTCCCACCAGTAACACAGACATTGGGTGATCTGTTGGAGAACATGTGACAGACATTTTTTTTGTGAATTATGCAAATCGTTGAGGAGAACTGACATTCAACACCATAACAGTGATCCATATGATTCATGCACTTCTTTGATAAAGGAATAGGCCATTTAGACTATTCTGGATATGTGCTAGTAGAGCTGCACAATTCTGGATAAATGCAGAATCATGATTTTTTTTTGTTTAAGATAGATATCACGATTCTGAATAGACAACTACAACAAAATAACATGTAATTTATTAGAGATTCTGACAAAACGTTAAATGCTGCAGTCTATTCTACAATTATCTAGAATTTTAATTGTAGTTATATCTAATTACTTAAAACAAAAATTTGAATTCTGTTTGAATGCACAAATCAATGGCTTACTCATAAAGACCTAACTTGAATGAATCAGCTTTTTTGAACAAATCTCTTGAATTAATAATTCAATTACAAATAAAACATTTTATCAGTCACTTGTCGCCACCTACTGGTGTAACGAAACATTGATACAATCTTTATTTGAAGTCGCTGTTTAAAAGGTGATTTATTTACTTTATTTTGATCACTACCGTAGATATCAGTGTTTTTATCCAAACTAAAAAAAATGATCACAGTCCTTCTGTGATAATTGGGCTTTTCGTAACACAGAAATAATACTGTGTGGTTTAACTATTTGTGAAGCTGTTTCATACCTAAACATGACAACTGTTCTCTCTGGGTCACCGGCAGCATGAATGCAGATTTGATTGTTCTGTTGTGATCGTACTTGTCAAGGGGTTCATAGACATCATTATTATTTAGGAATAAGATTGCGTGGGTAATTAATCGTGCAGCTCTACAGGCTAGATGCAAGATTTAGGGAAGGGCAAAATTTTCTGTTCGTTCCATACACAAAGCTATCATACTATGCAATATAACACACACACTACAAATTTTTATGAGGATGTTATTTATTTTTGGACAGCCCCTGGTCACTATGAACTGATGTTGTAGGACAAAAGCTGCATAACGATTCTTTCAAAATATCTACTTCTGTGTTCCATGAAAAAAATACTGTAACAGTACATTATATGTACACGAGCACATTACAACCTCATTTTTGGGGGTGTGAACAATTTTTTCTTTAATTTCTGTTGTACTAGTAGCAGCAGAATTGCAAACAGAACTGCAAACATGATACACGTTGCTCAAAAGAGCTACAGTATATACACTCTTAAATGAATAGTTGTAATATTATTAATTAATTTGTTACATAGCCATTAAAAAGTTTGGGGTCAGTAACATTTATTTATTTATGGAAATAAATTAATATTTTTATTCAGGAAGGACAAATTAAATCAAAAGTGACATAGTGTCACAAAATATTTCTATTGCAAATAAATGTTGTGCTTTTTAATTTTCTATATATCACAGAATCTTGAAAAAAAAAATGTATCATGGTTTCCACAAAAATATTAAGCAGCATTTTATAAATAAAAGAATAAAAAATAAATAAATAAAAAAGTACATTTTAAAATATATTAAAATTTAAAAGAGTTATTGTTTTAATTGGCATAGCAGTACAAAATATTTCTGTTTTTACGAAACATAAAAGTCTTCTTTCAAAAAATCTTATCGACCTCAAACATTTGAACAGTAATGTTTACTTCAAGCAAGACTTATATTGTTGTATGCATATTTAGCCAGAATATGGCTATAGTACTTTAAGTACACACCTCATAATTAACACCTTTAATTAAAAAGTTAAACGATACCACTGCTTTCGAATGTAACATTTCTAAACTTTCACTAAACTTTTTAATGTTAGCACACTTACCTTTATTATTGATTGCATCCATTCCTAGCATGGCTAAACCCGCCACCATGACTTCATGGTGTGTACAGCAGAGAAAACCTCTGTCCGCAATGCGATCTTTAGCATCTGTTAAAGCAGGGGCTTCAGAAACAGACGGTTTGGATTTTTTCTTGTTCTTCTTTTTATGAGCAGAAGAAGCTAGCAAAAGAGACCAGACACTGAAATAAATCTCCAGTTGTTCTATAAACATTTCAGAATTCAAGCACAGCGGTACCACACCTGTGGCGGCAGACCGCAGTCTGCTTTCTGACTGCACCAGCTGGGAATTGTTCATGAAGATGAGCCTGCGATAGAGGTGACCATCCTCTCCTCTCACATCCTCCACGGAATACTCTCCAGTCAAAGCACTGACCCCTCGTCCGATGACTTCCCTCCACCCCAGATCTCCTCCCACAGACAGGAACGGCACCTATACCAGAGGAAATGTGAAAGAGAGTGCATGAGTGAGGAATGAGGACAAGATAAAGCGCAATACAGATGCATTTTATTCTTGTGCACCTGCTGATTGGCTGGCATTCCAGGAGGAGCGAGTTCCATCACCACTGGAGAGAGCTCTGATTGGACAGCCTGCATGTCCTCATACTCCTGATCTCTATGCATTGCCACAATGACCAGGCGTCTGAATTTTGCACTGGATGCTAATTGAGTCCGACCTTCAGCAGAGCCATATAACCAATCAGACTCACGGCCCTGAGGAACTAAAAATAAAAATATATTAATGAAAAAAAGTAAAATTGTGTAAACACACACACACATATATTGTCGTGTGTGGCCGAAACAGGCTGAAGCATGGCAGTACCTACCGGCAGAGCTGTGGTATTCGTTACCGGGAACGCGAAGAAATTGGAAGAGGTGAGAGTGTGGCTGTTTAAAAAAAATTGAGTCGGCCACAAATTAACCAATTTAAACACAACGTAGAACAAAATGTGAATAAGTGTCTGGTCTTGCTTTGCTTTGAATGAATAGTCTCTGCTCACATGCCGCGAAACACTGTAAGATTTGATTTGTAAAGCATCATAATTTATATAGTGAAATGCCAAGTCCAGTCCTCACTTTTGATCAATTTAATGCATCCTTGCTGAGTAAAAGCATTCATTTCTTAAAAAAAAATCTTACTGACCACAAACTTTTATAAACAAAGCATTTATTTAAAAGACAAAAAGGATGGAGTACATTTGAAACCGTTTATGAGCAGCACATTAGTGCTTTGATTTGAGCCAGAGCCTGATGAGGCAAACTGAGCTCCGATTGGCTGAATCTGCTTGGAAAGCCAACAGTACTCAGTCTTGGTGTTTTGCATGTAGTATAACTAACTCAGTGTGTTAAGTTGCGGGAAAATGTGTTTATTGCCTTGTTGACTAGACAGCAGCAGGTGATCCAATGTTTCACGAATATTGTTTAAGGTGGTTTGAGACGTGAAGTGAAAAGAGAGGCTCATGCCAGAGTTCTGACATCTGACAAAACAAAGATGAGAAAGCTCTGTTTTTCATATCATTTTGCCATATTCAGTGCGGTCCAAAGTGAAACCCAACATCTGTTTTTTTTTCTTTTAATTTAAACCTGCAAATAAGCTTTTTTTTAATTTAAGATTTTAAATATTTACATTGAAAGTGTTAGGAAATAAAACAAAATAGTTAAGATTATGCGTTTTTTTCTGTGTCACTAATCAAACAAGCATATCTGAAAAGGATCTGAAAATTATTGTTTGTTTGTTTGTTTTTACAAACATCAAAGTTCATGCAGTTTGAGTTCTGCTGTCATTAATGCAAAAGGATGACAATAAAGGATGATGATAAATATTGAAATGAAATTTAAAAAATTATTTAATCCTTGTACTAAAATTATTATGCTGAATATGTAATCAAATATATTTAAATTGCAAAATGCAAAGTAGAAACATTTTCACAAACGGTCTGAGATTTTTGAACACCGAAGGTATGTTTTCACCCCATGATGAATAAGATATGTGTAAGTTAAAAGAACAGTTCACCTAAATATTAAAATTTGCTGAAAAATTTCTCAGGCCATCCAGCATGTAGATGAGTTTGGTTTCTCATTGGAACAGATTTGGAGAAATGTAGTATTACATGACTTGCTCACCAATGGATCGTCTGCAGCCAATGGGTGCCGTCAGAATGAGAGTCCAAACAGCACTTACACATTGTGCCTTTAAGCTAAAGGAAAATGAAAAATGTTACCTTTTAGTTAACAATATTAACTTCGATGTGTATAAACAGCATAGTATGGAGGTCTGCTCAAGTGCATGTGGGACTCATCTCTCACAGATTTTACCACTCATCCTTCAGCCTTGCACCATTCACTCCTGTCGTTTATAATCCTTTAACCAAGTCTGGATTCCCGTTGAGCACCATCTCATCAACCAGCCTGCCACCTTCCCATATACATCCCAAATGAAATGTGCAAATGTTCATCTAGAGGCCTTGACTAAATCTTCTGTGACTGTATCTCTCCTGCTCTTACTTCCCTAGTTTCAGGACGTCTGCTCATCTCATCAAGACGACAGGGCAGTTTATTTAAACCGTTTTCAATGTGCACCAAACCTTGGACTCTGGCTGAGTGAATAAACAATAGGATCAACAGGCAGATAAATATTTTCTTTTAGTGACATTTCAAGTCAAAGGTCATAAATTTGCTTCTTCATAAATTGTGGAATATGTTTCTTGGGTGTAATGATATGTGAATTGCTGACATGTATGCAAGCCATTGCTTCTTTTCGTTTCTAAGCATGTTCCCTCCATCATAAGGAGAGGTGTTGGAGGTTAAACTGGATAAAAAGAAAGTCAAAGTATGAGGACACAGCTTTATAACCCACCTTTATGAACTGAAGTGTCCCATAGGCACATTAAATTAACCTGAAGGTCAAAGGCCACAGCAAAGTGAGACAGTGGAGTCTGTTTAAAGAGGGAAGGTTAAAGTTAGACTACTGTACAGTTTCACATGCTTTTTCTTTTGTTAAAAATATTGCTGTTTCGTTTCGAATAGCCCAAACATTTTCAGCCCAGTGACTTGTAATATTCAGAGTGGAATATTCAAAGTCATGCCTGGCTTTCTCACTGTTTATATCCTGATGTTTCTCATCAGCTTTCCATATCCTTCAATGTCTCCCAGGAATCTGAAAATGAAACAACTGGCAAAAGTCTTAGAGAGTCAATATACACAGAGCTTTGCACACTCAACCTGTGTGAGCTCGAAATACACATGCAAAAGAAATTTCACTTTTATGTCTGTAAGTGCATCCTTACAGGGGAATTAAGTGCTAAAAGTGTGCACCTTTAACCAGGGCCTTTTTGGGGACACATCACCTAATCTTTTCACTTTGCGAAGCACCTTCTATCCCCACGTGAAACATTTCTCAAGGCTGCCTGTTTTACAGATCATACCTCCTGTCGCTTGCGGGACACATTCTGGGCCTGCTTACAAAACCATCTGAACCATTCTTGTCTGAAGAGTTGCATTACTCTACATTTTTTTTCTTGTTCATGTGACAGGATGATCAGAATTTATTGCTCCAAATGTTCCATGAATCTTCTCTAGACCTTGGTTATTTTCAATGTTTGTTTAATCAATTTCAGGGAATTTCAGTGAGTATATAAATACAAATTCAACCTTAAAAAGTCTAAAACAACCTTCAGAAAATAACCCTGTGATATTAAGCCAAACAGCACACAAGAATGTATACCTTTTATACAGGTGTATATATAATTAATTCCAGTGATGGAAAGGTAATTTTTCAGCAGCCACTACTCCAGTCTTCAGAAATCATTCTAGTCATCGGAATTAATAACTCACTAACTTTTAGATGTGTAATCACTCTATGTCTAAAGCTGGGCTGTTTTTGATGATGATGATGATGATGCTTTATTATTATTATTTTATTATATGAAGATAAGTTGGTGGTGATGATTTTATGCTTTTTGTTGTATTAGATTTCGATAATGATTTTTTAAAACTAAAGTATGTTAAATTTTTTTATTCTTGTAAACAGTACAGAGATTACATAAATGGCATATAACTGTATACAATTGATCAAAATGCATAAATTTCATCAGAACACATAGGAAAGAAAAATAAGGGGAAAAAAAGTTAATGATTGGTAAGAAATATAACAATGGAGAAATAAGAAAAGCTAAAGAGAAAAAAAGAAGAAAAAAAAAAACCATAAGGATGACTGTAGAAATTGTTATCATTACATATTAAAGTCTTTCTCCTTGCTTTCTTAATGTTTAATATTTTATTAGAAGAAGGTGAAGAAGATGGTGATGACGGTAATGATCATAGACATAATAAATACCTTAAATATCAAATAATAATAAATACCATAATAAATATAGTATTTATTATGTCTATGGTAATGATGATGCGTCTGCAGGAAACAGTAACCGTTCAGCTGTTCTGACTTCCGCTTCAGTGCCGAGCGAGAGACAGAGACATCATTCAGGACGCATCCGACTCGGATCAAAAACAGTCAGCGGGACTATAAACGCGCTTCTTCCAAACGGGAATCGACAAAAGCAAGATCTCTGAGGTAGACCGGCCGGGGATGTGGCTCTTGAGGCCCGTGTGCGAGTGCTTGTGTATCGGGCAGTGAAGTAGCCAGGTGTTAGCAGTCATGCTAGCTGTCATTCCATCTGTTTTCACTTCAGCCTTTCCATTCCTTCACCAATCCTCATGTAAACACCATTATTTGATTTCATGCTTGTTGTTTTTCCCAAAACCACGTCTTATCTTTTCTTTCGCTCTTTTAGTGTCCTGTAGGGTCAGCGTGTTTATGGGGTTTTATTGACTGCATGAAGCTCTGTTTAGCAGGTGCTGCACAGGAACAACAGCTGTTTATTAGAAATGATCGATAACATGTGGTTAGTTAACGTTAAATGTTTACATATATATATA